ACGTACACAAAATTTAAAAAAAAAAAAAAAAAAAAATGTCTGTAACTACTAAAGTATTTACAGTTTTTATCTTAATTGTTTTTGTTTTTAATTGGTGGTAGGGGTTAGAGGAGAACCAAGGGACATGATGAATATGCTTTTCTTTTCGATTATAATAGGGATCATTTAAATGTATTATTACAGAAAAAAAAAAAAAACACCCTAGAATGATATATGTAGTCTGGAAGACCCTCGATGAGATGGATTGATTCAGTGGCTGTGGTAATGGGGTGTGTCGGAGATGGTGAGATTGGCACAGGATAGTGTGAAGTTTAGGGCTCTTGTACATAGGGTTGCTATGAGTCGCAGGCAACCGATGGCACATAACAACAACAACAACAACATATGGATTGATTAGATTGGATCGGTGTGCAATTTTTTAATTATGTTAGGTCTCATTTAAGTAGTTTTCATTACAGAAAAAACACTGGAAGGATGTGTGAGGAGCTGTGTATGGGTTAAATGAATGATTTAGATCTATATTCATTAAATTGAGAATATGGACTTAGACTAGAGGTCAAGTGGGCTAACTTAAAATGACTTTTTGTAACTTTGACCTTATTTTTCATTACCGAATAATTTTGCACATGCTTTCTTATTGTTGTTGTTAGGTGCCATAGAGTTGAGTATGACTCATCACGGCCCTGTAAACAACAGAACCCTGTCCCATCCTGTTACATCCTTACACTTGGGCCCATCACAGCAGTCACCCTGTCAGGAGGATTTTCCTCTCCTTCGTTGACCCTCCACCCTTCCAGGCATCACTTCCTTCTCACTTCCCCTTCCAGCATGCCCATAGAGGGGAAGCCTTGCCTCCAAAGAGCACTCTGGCTGCCCCCTCTAAGATATAATTGTTCTTTTGGTAGTCCGTGCTCAAAATATCCACTCTCTCATCCTTATTCATTGTCCAGCTCTGAGTTACACACCAAGTGATCAGAAAGACCAAGGCCTGAATCAGATGCATGCTAGCGCTCACACTGACAGCATGTCTCCTCAATAATTGGGAGAGGTCCCGAACTGCAGACTTACCAGTTCAGCGCATCTCCTGTTTCCTGACTGCTGGTATCAAGAGTGTAAATTGTGGATCCAAATAACAGGAAAGTGTTGACAGTTTCAGTTTCTTCTCTCTCCATCATGATGATACTTAACATGTTTTCTTAGGTTAATAAAAATATTTTTTCCCTTTCTGCAAGAGAGCTGTAGTGCACATGGACGAACGTCGAGAGGAACAAATTGTGCAGCTGCTGAATTCTGTTCAAGCTAAGAATGATAAAGATTCAGAAGCTCAGATATCCTGGTTTGCGCCTGAAGATCATGGGTAAAAAGAAAAATATTCTTTTAAAGAATGAATAAAGACTAGCACTTTATGAATAATAAAAGTAACTTCTGAAGCTCTTTAATAAGTGAAGTTTAGCCTTAAAGTAATGTATGTTTTTTTCCTTAAATACAGCAAATTTGATGAAATGTCAGAAAAATTAGATGACACATTTGTTCTCAGGGGAAAGTTAAGTGATAGAAATAGTCTATTTGGAAAGAAAATGTATTAACTTGTGTATTATTCTTCCTGAAAGCAGGAGTGGCATCCACTTCCTAAATAACATGCCTCCAGACACTATGAACTTAAATAAATGTTGTTAGTTGTAGAAAGACTTCAAGCCTTTTGCTCATACAGTCACTATGAGTTGTGTTTGACTCAAAGGCAACAAAAACATTATTCTTCTTATCTTAGCATTTCAGATTTTCTTCTATGGGGAAAGCTTACAAGATGTAAAATTGTTGCTGTTTTAGCAAGGTGACAGGAACTATCTCATTCAGAGAGAAAAATTAGTAAAAATTTTTCAAGGACTGTTTAATGTAGCATTACATTTACAGCTCAGAAATGGTAGCTAGAAGAAAGAAACAAATTACACCAGAAGAAAATAAAAACCAAAGCCAGCGAATAAGAAGGCTTATTCTGTGGTTTCTAATTTTATAACTATCCTATGGAATGAGGTGTTTGGTGATATTTAATATGTAGAAGAATTTGAATTCATTTTAAGTACTCATTGTAAGAACTGCTCTATGAAAAGACTGAAAACTTTTGATACTGGTATTTTTAAAGTCACACATTGTCTTGTTTTATTCCAGGGGTAGCTCTTTTAACTCTTTCTTTGTTGTCTTTTGTTTTTCTTTTCTAATTTTGTTCACATAGATATGGTACTGAAGTTTCGGCTGAGAACAGGCCAAGCTTAGAGAAGAAACTTGAGGACCAGGAAAAAAAATTGATAAACCAAGGAAAAAGGATGTTTAGGGCCAGGGATAAATCATACACAGACCGAGATTCTGAGTATCTTTTGCAAGAAAATGAACCAGATGTAATCTTAGACAAAGAACTATTAGAAGATTTACAGAAGAAAAGAACTGACCCTCGTTACATCGAAATGCAGGTAGTGGGAATTAACCTAGGAATTTGACATAACTAAGGTCACAGTTCTTAAATGGCAAAGTGGAATTCAGTATGAAATGTTCTTGTCACTAGAGGTATTAATTTATTTAAATTCTTATACTCAGTTTAACAGATTAACAGAGATAGATGGAAAAGAGAATGCAATATAGAAATTGGAGATTAAAATGTAAGAGAAATAGAAAAAATAGTGAAATTTAGAGACTGTGAATGTTGCCTAATTCTGTTTTAGTGCCATTAACAGAAATTGTCTCCGTTTTGCTGGATGTGAAATAATTCTGTATCAAATATTTTAAAAATAAGTTGTTAAATTGTTAATTTTCTTAGGAATTCTTGAAGTCTTAAAATTTTACATGTACTGTAAAATAAAACCACTTTTAGGTTCTAGTATATTTGTGAACTGTTCTGGTAACAGTAAATAAAATTTGTTAAGTTTCTTTTATTAAAATGAAAATTTATTTTCTTTTTTAATTTCAGCGTTTTCGGGAAAAGCTACCTTCATATGGAATGCAAAAGGTAAAACTCATATACACGATTTTATTTGATTGGAAGAATACTTAGTAAAGAAACAAACTCTTTTTAAGCTATGTATGGAGAAGAAATATAAATTGCTAACCTTCCTCCTGAAAATTATTATTTGAACCTTATCATTAATTTTATTGTTTTGAATTATCAAAGGACAAAAAGGTTCCTAATATTTTCTTATATTTTTTATCAATACTTGAAATCTTCAGAATTTAAAAATAAGATTTTTACATCTTAGTAACTTTGGATAAACTCTCTACACTTAATTGAGTCTAAACATTTTAACGTCAAAATTTAAATACTATACAATTGATCCTTCAGCAACACAGGTTGGTTTGCGTAGGCCCAGTTCCATGCACACTTTTTCTCTGTTGCTAGTAAGGTGAGCTTATGAGAGGAGAACCCTCAAGCAGATGGACTGACATAGTAACTGCAGCAATGGGTTCAGGTATGTCAAATGATGAGCATAGCTCTGGATAGGGCAGGGTTCAGATCCATACTGATAGAGTCTTTTTGAGTCACACTTGACTCGGTGGCACCTAACAGCATGTTACGCCCTTGGAAACACTGTGTAGTGCTGTTTTATTTTATTTTATTTTATTATTTTTGTGTGCGTGTACCGTCAAATCAGATCTGAGTGGTACAGGAGGAGATTGTCCCTCCTTCCTCGGCAGAGCATCTGGTGGATTCGAACCATTCGCCTCTGGGATTGTAGTGGCAGCTCCTTGCCACTAGGCCACCAGAGCTCCCCCCAAAACACTGTGTAGTCCTGTTTTCTGAATGACCAGTTTGTCCTGTCAGTCAGTTTTGTATCACAGTGAAAAGATTTGTAGATTTCTGATGGCATGGAGATTTGAGAGGTGTTGCCCTTAGCCCATATGTTTTTTAGGGATCAACTGTATAGTATTTTAATGAATTTATTGTTATTCGCAGAATTACCTCTTATGGAATGATATTCTTTATCTTCCGTGCCTTAAGTTGGTTTTTCTTTACTTTTCATAGCATTGATTACTACCTGACATTTATACATTATACTTACAATATATGCCCTTCTTAGTCCGTTGTAAGTTTGGTAAGGACAGTGACTATTTTATTCTTTTCTATTTCCTGAATAGGAAAGTCTATAGATTCTTAGGATATGCATTTTGAATAAATGAATTCTATTCCACTTATAAATAGTTAACAGTTAAAATTTTCAGTGTTCAAACGTAGAACTTGTTCAGAAGTATGATTTAATAGAAGGGGAGTTTTTAAAAGCAAAATTGTTTTTATAGATAAAAGTAAATGCGTAACAACCTTCTGAAGTAGCAGGAAATATTTTCTTACTAAAAACAATAGTGCTTATCTGAAAGAAAAAATTTCCTGAAATGATAAGGTTTTTTCCCCTATACAACTTATATCTGTATTGAGGATCCCACATTGACAGCTCTTGTCAATCCTTTTCTTAGTGAGGTAGTTTATTTCCCCCCCCCCAAAACCAGTACTCTGGCTTTGTTCTTTATATTTGTTGCTGTTTATCTCATTCCAAATTGTAAGATCTGTATAGGCAAACTGCCAGTGCTGTATATAACTCTGTGTGTGTGTGTGTGTGTGTGTGTGTGTGAGAGAGAGAGATTGAGAGATTGAGAGAGATTGAGATTGAGTGAAAGATTTTGGAACAGATTGGTATTCCATTCAACCATTCATACTTGCTTTTTGATAGCAATTACCGTTACACATCCTATTACCACTTTTCCCCCCCTCTCTGGTTCTTCTTTTTTATCCATCTTTCTGTCCTCTCCCTTCATACATTTTTGAGCTTTATTCCTGGAAGAATGGTGCTTTTGGATCCTGTATGGATAATTATTCTAAGGACTTAGTACCTTGATGGTGTTACAGCACCATGTTGTTGTTATGTGCTGTCAGGTGGGGAATGAACTTTAGCTGACCCTCTGCCAAGTTTTCAGAGGCAGTTTAATCCCATGGGAGAAGATTGCTCATCTTTCTCCCAGAGAACAGCTGCTGGATTTGAACCATGTGCCTTTGGATTAGCAAGGCTGCTCCCTACCACTAATCCTCTCAAGCTCCCTTTTCACTTGGTAGATGGCTCTGTTATTTACTGCAGGCTGTACCACAGGGTTGAGGTGAGTTCAGTTCCAGGAGCAAGGGCAGCTAAGGACCATATTCTCAGTTCTACGAGTCTGTCAGGCTATAAACCTGTCCATCACTGTGATTTTGAGTTATTTTCTCCATTTACCTTTTTTTTTTTTTTTAAATCCAAGACTCTATTATGATCTCCCTTAGAGCAGTTGACAGGTTGACAGTAGTAGCCAGGTACTGTCTGATTCTTTTGAGCTCAGAATTCTGGAGACATGATAGAGGCCTGAAAGCTGCACTTGACCACATTTCAACATAAATATATTGTCCTGCTGAGTGATGTCTTCTCTAACACTTAACAGTATATGTTTGTTAGAAACTTTAGCTTCTTTGAATGTTATTAATTTTTTAGGCTTTTTATATAACATTTAATGTCTTGCTTTATTTTTCTCTTTCCAAATAGGAATTGGTAAATTTGATCGCTAACCATCAGGTAACAGTGATAAGTGGTGAAACTGGCTGTGGAAAAACCACACAGGTTACTCAGTTTATTTTGGATAACTACATTGAAAGAGGAAAAGGATCTGCGTGCAGAATTGTTTGTACTCAGCCGAGAAGAATCAGTGCTATTTCAGTAAGTAAGCTGTCATTTTTAAAAAGACTCTTCTTTTGTCTTTAATTTTTCCTTTAGATACTGCTTTTCCATAGAAAATTAAAATAAGTCCAAAAGAACCAGGATATGATCTTGAATCAATTCCGTTTGAATTTCAGAATCATCTTGAGAATAGATTTGAAGCGTTGAACAGCCAGTAATCAAAGACCAGATGAGTTGTTGAATGATATTAGGGGTATCATCCATGAAGAGAGCAAAAGGTCATTACAAGAGTGAAGAGAAAGAAAAAACTGAAATAGCTGTCAAAAGGAACTTTGAAAATTGTACTAGCACCTTTAAAAGCTGATAAACAAAGGGAAAACGTGCCAAAGTGAAAAATCTGAACAGAAAATTTCAGAGGACAGCCGAGAAAGACAAAGCAAAGTAAAATAATAAAATGTGCAAAGAGCGGAAGTTGCAGAATTAAAAGGGAGGCACTTGCTCTGCATTTCTCGAGCTGAGAGAACTGAAAAGCTGAAGGCTATGGCAGCAATATTGAAAGATGCTCTACATGACCTAGGAAGCATCAAAAGAAGATGGAGGGGTGTCCCTCCAGTCAGTGGAGGGATATACACGGGATCATTGTGCAAAAAAGAACTGGCTGACACTGAAAAATTTCAGAAAGTATCATGTGTACAGGAGTCAATTAAGGAGAAAATTGAAGTTACATTGAAGGCATTGGCAAAAAATAAGTCCAGTTGACTTGTTTGAATTAACAGATGCAGCCCTGGATGTGCCCACCAGTCTATGCTAGGAAATTCGGAGAACAATTGTCTGGCCAATGGATTGGAAGAGGTCCATATTTGTTCCCATTCCCAAGAAAGGTGATCCAAAAGAATGTGGAAATAATTGAACAGTGTCTTTAATATCACATGTAAGCAAAATCCTGCTGAAGATCATTCAAGAAAAGCTAGAACAGCACATTTATAGGAAACTGCCAGAAGTTCAGGCAGGATTTAAAAGAGGCCATGGCTCCAGGGATATCAGTGGTGATGTTAGATGGATCCTGCCTGAAAGTATACTGGTATAGATTATATTAAGTTATGGCTAACATTGGTAAGAATGGAAATCCTAGAGCACTTAATTGTGCTCATGTAAAACCTGTACCAAGAGGCTGTTGTGCAAATAGAACAAGGGAACAACACTACTACATGGTTTAAGATAAGAGTGCATTAGGTTTGTATCCTCTCTCCATTACTACTCAATCTTTATGCTGAAAAAATTGTTTGAGAAGCTGGATTCTATGAAGAAGAAGGTGGCATCAAGAATGGAGGAAGTCTCATCAATAACTTGTGTTACACAGATGACACAACCTTGCTTGCTGAAAGTCCTGAGGAGGACTTGAAGAATTGGTTGCGGAAGATAAATTTATTTAATATAAAAAATATATAATTGCATCTCAACGTCAGGGAAACAATAATCTTACCAGTGGACCAATAGGCAACCTCCTGATGGATGGAGAAGAGATTGAAACTGTTAACAGCTTCATCTTGCTTGGATCCACAATTACCACCTTTGACACCAGTGGTCAGGAAACCAGGAGATATATTGCACCAGGAAGTCTGCAGTTAGGGACCTCTCTAGATTATTGAGGAGTAATGATGGCTGTTTGAGCGTTAAAGTGCATCTGATTCGAGCCATAGTCTTTCTAGTAACTTGCTATGTGTCTGAGATCTGGATGACAATTAAGAATGACAGAAGAATTATTGATGCTTTGAGCTGTGGAGTTCAAGAGTACTGAACATCCCATGGACTCCCAGAAGAACAAACAAGTATGTCATGGAGAAAGTGAAGTCAGAGTGCTCTTCAGAGATGATAAAGATTTAGAGTGCCCTTTAAAGATGATAAAGCTTTGCCTCACATAGTTTAGGCACATTGCTAGGATGGGCTACTCCTTGAAGAGGGTCACAATGAGTTAAAGGCAACTCAATGACATAACTACATCCATCCACTCTAGTCACAGAGTTTCTGAAGGTTGATATTTCACAAGTACATAGCCAATCTGCTTGGAGATGCTCAGTGCTATATTGTGTTATTACAACAGTATCCGTGTGTAAGTGGGCCCATGATGCTCCAACCACACTGCTTTAAGAAACAAACGTTTTATTTTGTGGTTTTTTCCCCCTTTCATAGCGAATCCTAAACCTAATTATTCTAAATCTTCAAAACCAGTTGTTGTTAGGTGTTGAGTACGACCCACAGCAACCCTGTCCTGTCCTGTGCCGTCCTCACACTTCCTGACACACTAGAGCCCACTGTGGCACTGTGTCAATCCACCTGGTTGAGGGTCATCATCTTTGACCAGTGTTAAAAGAGCTTTGTGCCTCTTGTCCTAAGAGTTAAGTTTATTTGCTTATTAATGTTACCTAGGCTATGCTGTAACTGTATCAGGATTATATAAAGATTCATCTACAACCTGCGTTATGCAGATGACACAACCTTGATTGGTGAAAGCCAGGAGGAATTGGAGCACATAGTGGAGAAGATCAAAGACTACAACCTTTAGTGTGGATTATACCTCAACGTGAAGAACAGAGGTCCTCACGACTGGGCCAGTAGACAGCATCATAAGTGAAGAAAAGACTGAAGTTACTAGTGATTTCTTTTTATTTGGATCCACAGTCATACCCTTGGAAGAAGAGAAGACATCAGATAATGCATTGCGTTGGGCTCTCAGGAACTTGTCAAAGTTGTTGTGATTTTTTCAGAAACCTCAAATTTGTCCTGAAGTTCATGATTTTCGTGCAGATAGTACTGTATTTTTACCATAACTGGTTTTTAAATTACAGGTTGCGGAGCGAGTAGCTGCAGAAAGGGCAGAGTCTTGTGGGAATGGGAATAGTACTGGATACCAAATTCGTCTCCAGAGGTAATGGTTCATTTTTTATTTACTGGTAGATTTTACTGACACTTTGACGCTAGAAATCCAAGAATGAAAATTTTCCCACTTTTTTATTATTACAATTGCCATTTAAAAGAACTGTAGCCTAGTATAAGGAGTGTAGGAAGCAATAATGTAATTTTTTTAACCAAAACTGAAGATTAGTAGTTGTAGTAATGTACTGTTGAGTTCGAACCAGTCCACAGCACTGCATATGAAATGATTTAAAAAGAATTTTCCCCGCACTTAGGTGATGGTTGTTATGTGCCATCTAGTCGCTTGTGACTCGTAGTGACCCTGTGTACTAATAGCTCTGAAACCCATCCTGTCCTGAGACAGTCTCATTTTCTGTGACGCACTGACCCTCATCATCCCAGTTATTGAGTTCATCTCCTCTGGGATCTTCCTCCTCTTTGCTGTCCGTCCACCCTTGCAAACATGATGTCCTTTTCCGAGGACTGATTCCTCCTGGTACAGTGCACAAGGTAGGTGAGGGAGAGCTTCAAATTCCTTGCCTCAAAGAAGCAGCCTGGTTTCACCCTATCCAGGTCAGATTTGTTTGTTCTCTTGGCAGTCCATGGTATTTTATTTTTGGGAGGGGGGGATTTGTTTTGTTTTGTTTTTGTTGTGTACTGTCCAATCAGATATGATTGGCACAGTAGGAGATTACCCCTCCTCCTACAGCAGAGCACTTGGTGAATTCAAACCACACTCCTTTAGGATTCTAGCACAGATTCTTGCCACAAGGCCACCAGAACTCCCTAGTCTATGGTGTTTTCAATATTCTTCTCTAACAAAGAACTCCAAGCTTCAATTTTATTGTCATCTTTATTCATTGTCCAGCTCTTTGATGCATAGCAAGTAATTGCAAAGGCAATGGCTTGAATCAGGTGCACCTTAATCTCTAGACTAACATTATTGTTCCTCAGTACTCTGAAGAGGTTCCTGACAGCAGACTTTTCTGATGCAGCAGCAGTTCATCTTCTGATTCTGGCTACTGGTACCAAGCAAGGTGAAGCTATTACCAATATCAGTCTCTTCTCCATGTATAATGATGCTGCCAATTGGCCCAGTGGTTTTCTTGATGTTGAACTTCAATGGATATTGAAAGCTTCAGTCCTTAACCTTCTGCAGCAAATGCTTCAGGTCTTCAATGGTTTTAGCAAGCAAGGTTGTATCTTCTGCGTAGCTCAGGTTGTTGATGAGTCTTCCTCCAATCCTGATGCCCTATTCCACCTCATAATCCAGCCTCCCAAGTGATCTGTTTCTCATATATGTTGAAAAAGTGTGGAGATAGGATGCATCACTGACATATACTTTTTCCAACTTTGAAACATACTATGTTTCCTTGCTCTGTTCTAATGACTGTTTCCTGGTCAAAATATAGATTTCACGTAAGCACAAGTGTTCTGGGATTCCTGTTCTCCGGGTTAGCCATGATTTGTTGTGATCCACACAAATGCCTCTGTATAGTCTTATGAAACAAAACACAGTCAGTCCTCTGTTACTCTCTGCTTTCAGCTAAGTTCCATCTGACAATGGCTGTAATGCCCCTAGTACAACGGCCTCTTCGAAACCCCGCTTATACCTCTGGTAGCTTTTTGTTGATGTACTGTTCAAATCGTTTTTTATACTCTTCAATAGGATCTTGGTTGCATGTGATAATTAGTGATATTCTTCGATAATTTCCACACTCTGTCAGGTCTCCTTTTTTTGGAGTGGGAATAAATAGGAATCGTTTCCAGTCAGTTGGCCAGGTATTTGTCCTCCAGATTTCTTGGCACAACATACTGAGCACATCCAGGGGTGGTGCATCTGTTGTTGAAATATGTCAATTGGTAGGCCATCAATTCCTGGGGCCTTGTTTTTTGCCAATTCCTTCAGAGTTGCTTGAACTTCCTCCTCCTTCATCATTGCCTGTTGATCATACACTGTTCTGTGAAATTCTTCTGTCAGCCAATTCTTTTTAGTATAGTGACTCTTAACTACTTCCATCTTTTACTTTAGATGACTAAGTTAATTATTTCAGGAACTAAATTGGTGTCTTAATCTTTTAAATACTACTCACCTACTTTCCTGACTTTATTTGGCAACCAGTAAGTACCTGGTATGCTTAACTCTGTCCTTCTCCATTGCATTTCCTGGAGCTCAATTTTCTACTAAACCTTTTGGAAAGAACAGCCTTTCTAATTACCATATCTTGTATTTCAAGAAGTTAATTTATTCTCCACGTTATACCCTTAAAATGTAATTTATTAATACTCTACTAGAACAGTTAAAATAACATGCATTGAACTTGAAGGTAGATTTTACTACTACAGTGATAGGTGCATGCATCACTAAAAATACAAGTATAGATTTTTTTATTAAAAATTTCTAAAACTAAAACGTGATGCTTGCTAAACTAATAGAAAAGTAAAGAATTACTAATTTATGTTTTTTATTCACAGTCGCTTGCCGAGGAAACAGGGTTCCATCTTATATTGTACAACAGGAATCATCCTTCAGTGGCTCCAGTCAGACCCGTGAGTGTAAATTATTAGATTTTACTGATTTGTAATAGACAGTTATTCTTCTTGATTTCCTTTTGTAAGTTCCACGCTGAGTTAACATCTTCCCCACTGTCTGCCTCAGGCATTTAACCAGTGTCAGTCACATTGTCCTTGATGAAATCCATGAAAGAAATCTACAGTCAGACGTTCTAATGACTGTCATTAGAGACCTTCTCAGTTCTCGGCCAGAACTGAAAGTTATATTGATGAGTGCCACATTGAATGCTGAGAAATTTTCAGAGTATTTTGGTAAGTGAAATTTACAGTGATCGCCTTAGTTTAAAGTATCTCAAAACCATTGAATTTAGAGTAACAACATGTTTGAGTAACAACATGTTTGAGCATCCCACGTATGGTATAGTTTCTAGAAGCTAGCTAAATTTGAACGGGAGCGTAATATAGAGACATATTTGTTTCATCAGTAATCTAGTGGACCAGTGTTTTTGCTCTGTAATGTAAATTAAGCCCATTAATTTTTGGACGATTTTGGGGAATTAAATCGATAAACTGATATATGAGCAAGTAAATTTGTGTACTTAAGTCTAAAAAGCTCATTACTGTAGATTTACGTCTAACTCGCAGCCCCAGCTGTTTTCTGAGGCTGTAAATCACTGGGAAGGAGCTTCCCCATTTTCCTCCTGCAGAGCAGAAGATGAATTGGAATGCCCAGAGGGGGCTGCCTTTGAATTAGCACTTCTGTGCACCGCACCACTAGTGCTTTCAGTGTGTAGTCTTTAGAACATAAATGTAGGATGTTGGGATCCTGCTTGAGGAAAATTTGCTCATTGTCTTATCAAAGGCTGGCTTTGGTAATAAATTACCCTCTGGATATCCTACTTTGTCCTTTGTAGGAGGGAGCTTAACTTTTACCCTTGTTTATGTCCGGTTCCCACAACAATATGATACTAAGTATAGTAGTCAAAATAAATGCTTAGTGATTTATTTTCTTCTCATACAGTCCTAACTTAGAGTCAAGAGTTGGACCTATTTATAATGCTCTCATCAGTACTGCTTTAGAAAAGACAGGTAGCTTCTTAGTGCTACTACCAGGAAAATTAAGATAACGTGAGTGAGTGTAAAGCACGAATTTAGATGGTTTAAAACACATTTTTCTGTGGTTCTGTAGTTTTACAAGCCTGTTTTGTGGTTCTTCTGTGGCGTGCATATGACAGACTAGTATCGTTGGCTGTTAGCAACAGTAAGCATAACACTGACCATTTAAGGAACACCTGCAGTGGGTCAGCTAATAGATTTGGCACTTTAGCTGTAATCCTCATCATAACGTAATGAGACAGTGTTTATTCTCATTTTCACAAAGGAGAAAACAGCCTCGGAGCAATTAAGGAGCTTAAACAAGTTGTATAATTAACAGGTGTAGGTGTATAAACTACATGCTTTTTAAATATGCTACCTGACTTTCCTGTTACAATGGGAAAAGGAAAAAGGGGAGAAGTAACATGTAATATAGCTATGTGTAGTAAATGTTCTTTTATTCAACTTTCAGAACTGATGTGATGCCCTCCCCCTTTTTAAAAAGAAGCTTAGAGCTGAGGTTGATTATCTTGCTCAATTTTTGAAGATAAATTTATGAAAGTAAGATTTATAATAGAGAACTCAGATATTTTGACCTCTGATGCAGTGCTGACTTTGTTGATAGTGTGTGCTACTTGTGTTTAGGAGAAATAGACCCTCAGTAAGATGGTCAAACACAGTGACTTGTACCAGGCAGGATTTGGAGGGTGCTGATGACCCAGCAGGGTTTGTTCTGTTGTACTTAGAGTCGTGCATCAGAACTGACTTGACAGCACCGAACTAATTAAAGATGGGTTGTTGGTTTTGAATTGGTGGTGGTCGTATTTTGTATTTGGGTTTTTTTTGGGAAATTAATTCTAAAACACAATTTAATGTTTATTTTTTAAAAAACTTTTATTAAAAAAAAAACCCAAAACTTTCTTTCCTTCAATTTGGGTCCCACAAGAAGTGGTGGTTTTTATCTAGATTTCACTAAAACTTGGTAAGACTTCATTTTGGTTACAAATGAAGATCAGATTGATAACTTTAAACAAAATAATAGATTTCTGTGTATTTTAGTTCACCTTGAAATAATCTGTACATTAAACTGCCAGTTGAGATTTGGAGTTGAAAAATAGTGTAGAACTCTGAAAGTAACAGGGCCATTTTATGACATTAAGAATGTTGATGAAAAGTCATTGTTCTCTGTTAATAATGTGATAGGATTTTTCCTTCAACATCTTAGTATATATAGAGATTTCTGTTTCTTTTTCTACCATCTTAGGTAACTGTCCAATGATACATATACCTGGCTTTACTTTTCCGGTTGTGGAATATCTTTTGGAAGATGTAATTGAGAAAATACGGTAAGAATTATTAAAAATACTTTGAAAAGCTCAATTATGTAATTTTTCTTAAGCTAAACTTAGACACAAGATACTAAAGAGCTGAACATAAGATTCCAAAAGGCTGCTCGGAATGACAAAGCAAAATACTACAATGAAATTTGCGAGGAGCTAGAGTCAGAAAATCAAAAGGGCCGGGCTCGCTCAGCATTTCTTAAGCTCAAGGAACTGAAGAACATATTCAAGCCTAGAGTTGCTGTAATCAAGGATGCTTTGGGCAGAATATTAAATGATCCAGGAAGTATTAAAAGAAGATGGAAGGAATATACTGAGTCATTATATAGAAAGGAATTGGCAGATACAGAGGAATTTAAAGAAATAACATATGAGCAAGAGCCTATGGTGATGAAGGAAGAAGTTCAAGCTGCTTTGAAGGAAATAGCAAAAAATAAGGCCCCAGGAATAGATGGTATACCAGTTGAAGTATTTCAGATAACAGATGTTGCCCTGGATGGGCTCACCAAGTTGTACCAAGAAATCTGGAGAACAACCACTTGGCCAACTGACTGGAAGAGATCTATATTTGTTCCCATTCCAAAGAAAGGTGACCCAACTGAGTGTGGAAACTACAGAACAGTGTCATTGATTACACATGCAAGCAAGATTCTGCTGAAGATCATACAAAAACGATTAGAACAGCACATCAGCAGAGAACTGCCGGAAGTCCAGGCTGGGTTTAGAAGGGGTCATGGTACTAGGGATATCCTTGCTGATGTTAGATGGATCTTGGCTGAAAGCAGAGAATACCAGAAGAATGTCTATCTGTGTTTCATTGATTATGCAAGCCATTTGACTGTGTGGATCATAACAGGCTATGGCTGACTCTGAGAAGAATGGGAATCCCAGAACATTTAATTGTGCTAATGCGAAACCTATACTTGGACCAAGAGGCAGTAGTCAGAACAGAGCAGGGTAACACTGCATGGTTCAGAATTGGGAAGGGTGTACGCCAGGGATGCATCCTGTCTCCATACCTTTTCAACATGTATGCAGAGCAGATTATCCAAGAGGCTGGGCTCTATGAAGAGAATTGTGGCATCAGGATTGGTGGAAGGTCTATTAACAATCTCCGTTATGCGGATGACACAACCCTGCTTGCTGAAACTGAGGAGGACCTCATGCACTTGCTGCGAAGGGTCAAGGACTGCAGCCTTCAGTATGGACTGAGGCTCAATGTCAAGAAGACAAAGATTCTCGCCACTGGACCAATTGGCAGCATCAAGATGGATGACGAAGAGATTGAGAGTGTTCACAGCTTCAGTTTGCTCGGCTCCACAGTCAACACTCTTGGCACCAGCAGTCAGGAAATCAAAAAGCGTATCGTGATGGGAAAGTCTGCTGTTAGGGACCTCTCTAAGGTACTCAGGAGCAACAGTGTCTCTCTGGAGACTAAGGTGCACCTGATACAGGCCATGGAGTTGCAATCGCTTGTTATGCATCAGAGAGTTGGACAATGACTAGGGAGGACAGAAGGAGAGTGGATGCTTTTGAGCTGTGGTGCTGGAGAAGGGTACTGAATGTACCCTGGACTGCCAGGAAAACAAACAGATTCATCTTGGAGAGGATTAAACCAAGCTACTCCTTGGAGGCAAGGATTCTGGGGCTTCGTCTGACATACTTTGGACATGTTGCCAGGAGGGACGGGTCCTTGGAGAGGGACATCATGCTTGGGAGGGTTGAGGGACAACACAGGAGGGGAAGACCCTCTATGAGATGGATTGATTCGGTGACTGGGGTAATCGGGATGGGTGTGTCAGAGGCGGTGCAGTTGGCGCAGGATAGAGCAGGGTTTAGGGCTGTTGTGCATAGGGTCGCTATGAGTTGGAAACGACTCGACAGCACATAACAACAACAACAACAAACTTTAGACTCAGGAACTCCTTATAGACCATTTTTTTCTAAACCTAAAATGTGTATTTCCCATAATTCAGGGATTTCTAATGTGGATTACAGTCTAATTTGTAATAAAATCACCTGGAGCTTTTTAAAATCCAGGAGATCAAAGTCTCATGCCAGATCTAGGTAAACAGTTTTTTAAAGCTCTTTGAATGATTTTAATTGGCAGCAGAGTTTTAACATTTTTATTTTATGTTGATTTGCTTACAGAGTTCATATACATTGTGTTTTACACTCTCTTTCATTCACGTTTTGTTTCATTCAATCATTCCCATTCATTTTGTTTCATAAAATTGATCCCCATTGAACTATGGTTCACCATTACTATGTCTTTCCAGATCCCCATTGGATCTTTCCCATTTCCTTTACTCCCTCCCCCCAAATTATACAACCCAGTTATATTTCCCCTGCCCATCCTCACCCCTCTGGTCCCAACTCCCCCGGCCCCTTGGATCCTCAATGCACATTTTACTAGCTATAAATCTCTATAATAATGGTCTTATGCAGTATTTGTCCTTATGAGACTGAGTTAGTTCACTCAGCATAATGCTTTTCAGTTTCTCTCAGTTTATATAGTAATTTACAAAATCATTGCTCCTGAGTACTGCATAGTATTCCATTGTGTGAATGTACCACAGTTTCTCAATCTGTTCAGTTGTGGTTAGACATTTGTGCTCTTTCCATGTTCTTGTAATGGTGACTAATGCTGGGCAGTCGAGTTTGAGAAGTCTTCTGAGTTTTTTAATCTTTTGGCTCTGAATACCCAATTTTCATTATCCTCTCTGACTTCCGTCAACCACTCTTTATTTCTTTGTATGAGTCTAATTGGTAATTGTCTGTATTTTTTGTTCTCATGGTGCAATCCTGCCTATTTCATTGACCAAAGTTGTGACATGTAGATACTATCTAGTGTACACTTTGATTCATGACTCTCTGCCCTGTAACATACTCTTTCTTTTATATCTTCCTTTTTTTGTAACTGTTGATTCTATAAAACGACTCCCAACTTTATTTCCTGTTAAGCCTCTGTAATACTTCTCACAGGCTGTATTGTTTTTCATCTAGCCCACCATTGCCCATGTCAGGTAATACATATTTTACAGCTATATCATGTGTTTATATTTGTCACTAAGTGTAGTCTCTGTACTTGATCTGCAATACACATTTGAATGAATAGACCAAATAGAAAAGATACCAAAACCCTTGTGCTGAAATGTGTCAAGACTCCACAGCTTCCATGTTAAATGGAAAAAGCCAGGAAGTGATAATGGGAACAAGAGAACAAAGAGTCTTCCTTCTAGTTTACATTGGCAAAATTTAGCTAGATTTTGCCTTCCCTTCTTGAATGTGTGTGTGTGTGTGTCTGTATATATATATTGAATTTTACTCCACATCTTATACTGTATTGGGAACTGAGCATAAACAAGGAAAGATATGATACAGAAATCATCAGAGCTTATATCTAGAAAGAAAAAACATATTGGCTAGCGTATAAAGTTTGGTTAACCTGTTCTGAGTGATACAAGAGTATATTGGTAAGAACTTCACCACCGACAAAGAAGGAGCAAGAGAATGTAATGCATCCTTTAGGACCAGAGACTGTTGCGCTGGCCAGACGAGGGCCCATGGGAGAACAGCCACAGGAGCTGCAGTGGACAGCCAGGGACCTGCTATGCTAGGAGATGGAGTGAACCTTGGGACAGTGATGAATGGACCGGAGCGAAGAGCCTTTAGCCCAAGTTAGTTGGAGGACTCTGGTTAGCAGGACTGACAGCTTTGTTACACTGGCCGCAGGCCTCAAGGCGTAAGGCTGAGGCATCTGCAAGCACATTGCACAAGCTGTGCTAACTCAGTTCTGCTACTAACCTGGATTATAACTTTTTCACTTCCTCTCACCCACCTCCCAAAAAAAGAATATTAGCAGTGAGATGGTAACAGCAGGGAGCAAGTTGGTCAAGTCAAGAAGGTGAGGAAATTCAGAGGAGACATGTCACAGTGCAGCATGATGTATGCTAATGTCAGAGAGGCAGTGTACGATCTTTCTCTGCGTTAATTTATCATCTGTGTAAATATGCCGAACACTCACTCTCTGCCTTAATATTCTGTTGTGGATCCTGCTTCCTGTCATGCCTCCTTTACCAGCTGTTTTGCGAGAGAATAATAGCAGCTTGATAATAATGAAAATCGTTTTGAGTGTCATAGATGTAAAGTTAAATAATGATGAGTGGTTTTTTAACCTTTCTAGAAGTCAGGGACTGTGCATGAAACTCTTTGAGATGGTCTGTGGGGAGAAAACGACGGTATCTGTGTACTTGTGTTACTTGTGCCAGCCCTGAAAATGGAATCCAAGGAGGCAGCATGGTCCTTGATGAGAGGTTTTCATTAGAAGCCTCCAGTTAACCTCTTCAGAAAAGGAGAACTGCACCTCTGGGAAGTGTTGTACTGTTAGATCCCTGGAGCTGAGTCAGCTCCTAGTGACCCTGTGAATAACAGATCTGAATCCTGTCCAGTTGTGTGCCATCCTCACAGTCTCTAGCACACTTGGATTGGTTGCTGTAGTCACTTTGAGTCCACCTGGTTTGAGGTTCTTCCTCTTCTTTTCTGTCCTCCACCTTTCAAAGTACGATGTCCCTCTCCAAAGAACAGCCTCTGGTAGCACCATGTCTAAAGTATGTGAGAGAGGAAGCTTTATCATGTTTGTCTCCAAGGAGCACTCGGACTGCATCTCCAACACACAGTTAAAGATATCACTTCTTCTGTCATCTTTACTCATTGTCCAGCTCAGATGCATAGCAAGTGACTAAAAAGACCATGGCCTGAATGAGGTGCACTTTAGTCTTAAGGACAGTGTTAGTGATAGGATATTAGCCATATACGTCTCAGGTTACCCTCCTTGAAGTTGGAGCCTTTATATGTCTTCTTGTTTTTTGGTAGGGTGTTTGTTTCATTGGGTTTTGCCTTTTTATGTATTAAAGACTTAGGGGATTCCTGGGTCACCGATACTGAATAGGAAGGGGCAGTGAGCACCTTTTGGAGAGCTACATATCACGCTGTACACTTTATTGTATTTTTATCCTCAGTAATCTGCTGGAAATATTTATCTCTGAAATCAGGATAGTAGGCTGGAAATTTAGCCACTTGTCCAGAGTTAACTTATGGCAAGGACATCATCAGTCTGTTTCCGAGTCTTGAGCTCATACTCTAAATACCATTGGGCCTTATGGTGATTAAAGCACAGGTACCTTTTTCTTTGTCTCCTCACCTCGGGAGTCCCAGGCCTCTCAGTAGCATTTCTGGCCAGCTGTCTTGTCTGTTTTGAGCAGACATTGCAATATGGTGGAATTATAGTGTAGCAGTAGACTGATGCTTAAGAGATCTGCCCCGCTGATTCTGACTGCTGTTAGCTGTAACTGTGACACCAGGCCAGATTGAATCGTTTTCAAGCATGGTCTGCAGGTCTGTGGACACACTCTTGACGCTTCTGGGACTCTGTTTAAAATTCCCAGCCAGCATGCCTGAACCTAGTGAACGGGGAGTTCTGGTAGATGAGGAGCTTCACTACCAGCTTCTCCAAGGGAGAAAGAAGGGCCTTCCCCTCCAGGGCTTCACAGTGATTGACAGCCTGGAATCCCTGCTGGGTGATCAGCTGCGAGTGGGCTCGGACTCCATGGCAGTGGGTTTTTTTTTTTTTTAAAAAAAACTGTCAAAAAATGGAACGTACAGAATCCAGTTGCCAAGGTTAAAATTTAGAAACCTTCAGTTTCACAGATTTTAGAAATTTGTATTCTTCCCCCCAATTTTATTTTACTAATTTTAATGAAAATGTACAGAGACCTTGGATTTCCATTCATTCATTGTTGCACTTTTCTCTACACCCCCCCCCCTTCCATTTCGCTCCTCTCTTCAGAAAGCAAAAGATAAACTTCTTCATTGGTATACAATCCCCCCGCCCTGAATGCACTCCACTATGCAACCTTAATTATGGAATCCTGTGATAACCATAATACCCTATCATATATCGCTTTTGAACTGTTCTTTCCCTCATATGTTTCTATGCAGTATACATAATCTATCCAGTTGTTCTCAGTCTTACCTCAACCCTGATGTCAGTCAAGTTTGAAAACTGTTATTTAAATGCTATATCTGTCTAGGAGGTATTCATTAACTGTTGTACCAGACTTAAAATAAATTAATCCGAACATGAATCTTAAAAAGTTAAAAGCGAAGCTCTAAGTTAGTTTTTTAAAAATATGGCTGTTTAACATGGTCTGCAAGTTTATATACTGTAATAGAGAAAAATAATTTTTATCTTAAACATCAGATTTTTGTGTTTTTGTTGTTAGGTGCTGTCGAGTATGACTCACAGCAGCCCTAAAAAACTAAAGATCTGAACCGTGTCCTATACTGTGTTATCTTCATACTTTCTGACACATAAGAGCCCATTGCGGCAGTCATTGTGTCAGTCCACATGGTCAGGGTTCTTCCTCTCCTTCCCCAATCCTCCATACTTTCAAGCATCATGTCCTACTTCAAGAAATAGCCCCTCATACCAACATATCCAAAGTATGTGAGGCAAAGCCTCATCATTCTTACTTCCAAAGAGCACTCTGGCTGCACCCTCTCCAAGACAGATTTGTTTGTTCTTTTTGACTGTCTGTGGGATGTTCGGTGTTCTTCTCCAACACTACAGCTCAAAGGTATCAATTCTTATGTTATCCTTTCTCATTGTCCAGTTCTCACATCCACACATAGCAAGTGATTGGAAAGACCATTACCTGATTCAGACGCACCTCAGACTCAAACTGAGATTCAAATATTACTCAATAATTTGAAAGGCCCTAACTGCAGATTTTCCCAGTACAGTACATCTCCTTATTTCCTGGCTGATGTTACCAAGGGTGTTAACTGTGGATCCAAGTAATAGGAAATTGTTGACAGTTTTAATCTCCATCCTTCATGATGTTGCCTCTACCTCCTATACCTGGACCAGGAGGCTGTTGTGTGAACAGAGTAGAACACCGCATGGTTTAAAATTGAGAGGGGTGGGCGGCAGGCTTGTATTCTCTCCTTACCTGTTTAGTCTATATACTGAGCAAATTATCCAAGAAGCTGGACTCTGTGAAGAGGAACGTGACATCAGGATTGGAGGGAGATACATCAGTAACACAACTTTGCTTGCTGAAATTGAAGAGGACTTGAAACACTTGTTGCAAAAGATCAAGGAATACAGCCTTCGGTATAGATTGCATCTCAATGTCAAGAAAACAAAGATTTTTACCACTGGACCAATAGGCAACATCATGATGGATGAAGAAAAGTTTATGTATAAAATCTTAAATTGATGTTTTATTGCTTATTAGAAATTGTGATAAAAAAATCATCTTTGAAACTTTGTTTTGATCGTACATGTATTATCAGACATAAGCTTATTTGTTTTTGTTTTAGGTATGTTCCAGATCAGAAAGAACATAGATCCCAGTTTAAGAGAGGTTTCATGCAAGGGCATGTAAACAGACAAGAAAAAGAAGAAAAAGAAGCAATCTATAAAGAACGGTGGCCTGATTACGTAAGGGATCTTCGGAGAAGGTAATCTTATTGTTGGGGAATGATTGAACAATGATTTAGTGACTAAAACAGAAACCGCCATTTGAATTCATACATGCTTGCGAGTTCGTTCATACATACGCTGGCTGAGTATGCTATGGTGAGTTGACTTAAACACCATTAAAATGGTTCTGGTGTCTTTAGAGTCCCCTATTTGTAGATAAAGTAGTAAGATTTTACGGGAATTTAAATCACAAGAAACATTATAGTAGTGATATCATTTCAGATATTTTGTATTTACTCTTGTAGGTATTCTGCAAGTACTGTAGATGTTTTAGAAATGATGGATGATGATAAAGTTGATCTGAATCTCATTGCTGCCCTTATCCGATACATTGTTTTGGAAGAAGAGGTCAGTTTTTTCCCAATCCATGTAACATTTTCTTTTAGTAATGTATCAAGGCCATGGAAAAAGAACAAGTATTTTCTTTGATGCTTTTAAAGTAACTGACTATTAAAGAAGTTGACACCTCCCACCCAGATAAAATCTCAAAATTATGAAATACTTTACATTTATTTGAAGAAAAAAAAGAAGCATCGTTTTTACTTTTTTAGAGTCTAGATTTTAGTTGTCACAGAATTTTATTGCTCAAGTTTTGTTGGTGTGATCCTTTGTAATGGCTGTTTCTTCACATGCAGGATGGTGCAATATTGGTGTTTCTGCCAGGCTGGGACAATATCAGCAATTTACATGATCTCTTGATGTCACAAGTGATGTTTAAATCAGGTACTACTTAAATAAAATTTTGTTGCCCTTTCTAGAGTGATCTCTATCTTAGGTTATTCTTTGATTTGAAAAAATACTGCTTTTGAAGCTGCTTTAGTGAACTTGGTGGCCAGAGCCCAGGCTGGGTTTTTTCATTTCATTTAGGTTTTGGGTACTTTTTTGTTGTTGTTGTTGTTGTTGTTGTTTATTTTGGGTTTTTTTAGCGGTCTGGGTTATGGGTGAAGGCTGTGTTTAGTGAAGCTGTGCTTTTAATATTATGAAGATTTTTTAACTCTCTCTCAACCTAAGGTTTAGACACTGGCATTTAGAGGGGTTTTTATTAGAAGAGGTGGGGTTGTTTTGTTTTGTTATTTTTTTCCTCTAGTAGGTTTTGTTGGGGAGGAAACAGAGATTTTCCTTTATCACTTAACCCAGTGTTTCTCTACTCTGACCATAGAAGAGTCAGACATGGAGTTTTTAAAAAAATTCAGATGCCCACATCTCTTTCTTACCGAAATGTAGGTATGCCACTGGAACATCAGAAGTTTTTAAAACTCTTTGTCAGATGATTTCTCACTTTTTAAACAGTATTACTTGAAAATGTTTTCGAATGTCCCACATTAACTCTTCTAACTTGGAAAATGCATGAGGGCCTTTTGTAGCTATAAAATTTAGTAACTTCAGTAGCCTCTCTAAACCTCTGTAAATAAAGTATAGAATAGATTCTAGTTAATAGGTTTAGTTCTCTATATAATTTCTAACCTGACTTGTAAGACACTAGAAAAACAACTTAAATATAGTAGTATGTATTCACATGTACGCTTGTACTTTCATTCTTTGTTTAATCCTATTATGTTAATAATGCCCAAATTGATAAAATATCTTCTGTAAAAAATACTGTCTTATTTTGCTAGTCAATGATAACCTTTATCAAAAAAGTAGACTGCTTAAATGTATGTTGTTGTTGTTGTTATGTGCTGTCGAGTCGTTTCCGACTCATAGCGACCCTATGCACAACAGCCCTAAACCCTGCTCTATCCTGCGCCAACTGCACCACCTCTGACACACCCATCC